CAGTGGGCTGTGTTGGCTGCCTGGCAGTGGGCTGTGTTGGCTGCCTGTCTGGCAGTGTGCCTCGCTGCATGCCTTGCTCCTGACGTGGTGGTCACCTGCCTTGGGGACAAAAGGGCTTCTTTCCTCGAGGCCAGTGGAGATTGGGTGTAGCAGTTGTGTGTCTGGCTTCCGTTTGGGATGGAAATCATTGTGAAATGGAATCAACTCCAATTGGTGGCTTAAACTCGTGTTCAGTGAAACCAGCACTTGCAGTTGCTCGGTGCGGTGCTGCTCCCAGCTGTCATCCCCTTGGATCAGAGGTTGCTGCTGTGTGAGCATACAGGCAAGCTGCTGCAGCCCAGGCTGCTTGTGTTGCTTGATTCAGAGTGAGCAGAGCCTCTGTGCCCTTCTGTAGCTTTGCTGCAGGGCCAAGTGCTTCCTGGAAGAAGGGAGAGGCGAATGAATGACTGGGGGTGGCGATAGGCATGAATGTGCTGTGCCCCTCTGCTGTTAGGGATTGGTGTACCTGGCATGGATGCTGTCATGTTAAGACAATACCACCTGCATCCGTATGGGTATATTGCATTGGTCTTAATCTGGTTGGTTTCTAATTGAGGCTTAAGGAGTCAGTGCAGGGACTCAGGGCTATAGAAGTCAAGTGATGAGAGGAGGGATCCAGATCACATTTTAGTGACTGAGGTGCATTCTTATGACCTTTGGTAGCCTCATTACATAACCCAGCCTGAGGGGTTCCTGCTACAGCAGCCCTTTTTTTGTCGTGTTGCTTGTGGTGAACCAGTTTAGGGAAATGATCCAGCAGAAATTCAACATAATGTGAGAAATTTATTCAGAACTTGTTGAGTTTAATTGACTAGATTCACTGCCGGGCTGTGCAAACAGCAGTAGCTGTGTCAGCACACTGAAGAAGGAACACTAGGCTGAGAACAAGCAGTCAGTACTACTGAAGTTGCTGCAAGCAGCGAAATGAAGAAGTGCAAGAGGGCAAGGCAGAGCAATCTGCTGAGTGCTGGCCTGAGGTTAAGCCAGTTTTGGTAGGTCAGTAAACTCTGCATGTTTCACTTTTGCCCTAAGCTGTGACATTGAGCATTTTCTCATCTCGTTTGCAGCGTTCTGATGACCTATGATCACGTAGAAATGGCCTTCAGTGAGATCGAACCGATGCCAGAGGCTTTCAAAGGGACCAAGAAAGGGAGTGTTTTCTTGACTCCCTACCGAGTAAGTAGTAGGAGGCTTTAGGAGATGAGAGCTCCTCATCGTTCTGTGCTTCTACACATCCGCTCTCCAGTGCATAAACGTCTGGATAATGTACTGCTCCTTGAATTATGGCCCCTCCTGTCCTTGTGGGGAGCTCTATGGCTTCATTGCGTAGTCTGTCTATTTGTCATAAGATAATAAATCTCATTAGTTCTTACCTAGGCAGCTGTTCAGTCCTCCAGGCATCTTCAAGATTGAAAATAAGTGGTGGTCTGGAAATGCTGAATGCAACAGTTCAGCTACTGAATCACAGCTGTGTGGAGCTGCGAGTTCTCTAGGAACTGGGGGACTCTTATCTGAGCAAGTGTAATCTTTCTGGAAGGCTTTATTGCCTTGAGGCATCACTTTACCCTTGTGACCGTTCTGAGAAGCCTGGGGCTTGCAGAAGTTTCAAGGATCTTTGAGTGTGGGAGGCATTTCAGTCCACAAGTCTCTCTCAGATAATGAACTGGAGCAGCGTTTCCTGTTTATTTTAAACGTCCTTTGTAATGTTGTTTCCTTTTCAGGTTATCTTTGTATCGAAGGGGAAGGATGCTCTGCAGTCTTTTGGGATGGCCTTTTATTTGTTGAAAGACTGTGAGATTAAGCAGCCTGTCTTTGGAGCAAATTATATTAAGGGTACAGTGAAAGCAGAGGCAGGAGGTATGTATGGCACTGATACCAAGCTGAACTAAGATGCAGAACGTTTATAGTTCGTAGTAAAGTAATTATTCTGTGTAATGTAAAGTGGATGCTGAATGCAGGGGTTCTTGCAGTACTGCTAAAATGTGGTTTTTCTCTTTGAATCCAGCAGCTAAAAATATTCCCCCCGTCTGCTCTGTACAGTTACAGTGAACAGATTAGCTGTGTGACTGATCCCATTCCTGCCCTCTGTACTGAGTTCAGTCAGCCAAGTGATCTCACTGGGTAAACATCAGACAGGCAGCAGGCTGTGGCAGCGGCACTGAGGCCGTCGTTTGGCCTTGGTCAGTTGAGCTTCTCCCTTAATTATGCCTCCAGATCCTTCTGTGCCAAACACTCGTGGTCTGTTCTGGTTCTGTATGGATTTTAAGGTTCAAATCTCTGACATCTGTTTCTTGTGCAGTTTAGGAAAAGCATTGCTGTATTGTTTAGAAAATAGTGGATTACCTTGAGCTTAGGGAATCTTGGAGGGCAGCTTCATAATGTTTAATGAGAAGGTTGTGGTAAACTTTTTTTTTCAAGAAGAAGATACTTTTATCACTGTTCCATGCTTCTACTTTTTACAAAGGCACTTATTTCATCCAGAGCCTGATTTATTCCCTTACTTGTGGCACTGCAATGCAGTGCAATGTTCAGAGGACTTCAGCCTATTACCCTGAAATCAGCCTTGTAGCTTCTGTATGGGAGCGAAACAGGACCTTCCAGCGTGAGAGGAGAGCTGAGCAGTGAGGACAAACTGCAAACTGTGTGAAAGGCAAAGTGCTTTAGCAAAATCTCTGCGAGTTCCCCCCAGAGGCTGGCTGAGTTAACGGGGGGGTTGCTCCAATAGCCAGAGGAGTCTGGCTTAGCTCAAAAGGCTCTTTTATCTACTGACACAGCTACTGCTTTGATGCATTGTTGGCACTCTGGGCTGTGCATGTTTTTCAGCCTGTAATAAGAGATGTGACTAATTTTTTTATTATTATTATTATTATCCTGACTTGAAATATTTTCTATGAACTCTAATGGATTGATGTGGTACTTGTTTTCTTCATTAAGCTCTTTGCTTCACTGGGCACTCAAACTCCCAAACGAATTTGCAGCGGGCAGTTAGGTGTAGTTGCAAAAACCTTTTAGCAAATGGGATTAACAGAATCCCTGTCTTGTGCACTCATCATGTTCAAAGCTAGAGTAAATCCAGCACTCCTGACAGCTTGGGCTATTGGCAGCCTGTGTGATAGCAGGCACAACGTTAGCAAGCTTTTGAATGTCTCCCTTATTGATGGTCCTATTATTCAGGTATCTCTTGATCAGAAAACGTCCAACGTGAAATTTTCTGATGCTAAAGGTAATTCTGCTGCTTTCTCTGCAGGTTTCTCTTGTATATTTGGGATAAGCTCTTTAAAGAATTATAGACAGGGCCTCTGTAGCTGAAGCACGGAAGTTAAGTAGCATCAAAATGGCTTCTCTTTCTTCATCAATTCTGTCTTCTCTCCCTGCAGGCGGCTGGGAAGGATCTGCCACCTTCAAGATGACCTTTACAGCTGGGGGTGCTATCGAGTTTGGGCAGCGTATGCTGCAGGTGGCATCCCAAGGTAGGGGAGCTTAATGCTCTCTGCTGTTTGGCTTTGTGGTTTCAGGAGGCCTTGCCTTAATCTTACAGCAAGGGCAGTTTGAAGCTGGGGCAGGTTGGATTCCAGTCTACGTGAATCTCAGGCTGTATCTGGAGCTGACTTGCCTTAAAACAACACCTTTTTCACGTCCAGCAGGCACTGGGTTTGTTGGCATTGGAACTTGCTTGGTTTTGCTTTGTTTTCTTTGGTTTTCAGATAAGGACTCTTTAAGTCTGTTGTAGGCCTTGGCTTGTGATCGGTGTTTTGCTGAAGTGAACTTGTCTTTCCTTCTCCAGCCTCCAGAGGTGAAGTCCCCAGCGGAGCTTACGGCTATTCCTATATGCCAAACGGATCCTATGCTTTCGCACCACCTGTGGCCAACGGGGGCTATCCGTACCCACCGCCTCCCCCTGGTGAGCCTGGGAGTTGCAGACGAGGATACTCGGAGCTGACAAGATTTACAACAGCTAAAAAGGGAGAGGAATAGAAATGTTGCATTATCTTTGACGTTGGATCGGATGCCTTGTGCAGCTTTTGCTTCTGAGCTTAAGGATATTTACCTTTAGCTTGCTTTGGCTGCATGTTGTGACTCCACCCGGGGTGGTTTTAAGTCCTTTATCACGTTGTCTCCTTTCCTGACAGAGTTTTATCCTGCTCCCCCTATGGGAGGTGCAGACATGGGTTACATGCATCTGCCGCCCCCGCCGTACCCTGGGCCCATGGAGCCGCCCTCTGGTGGTCCAGATCTGCCTTCCACTCCTGCAGGTAAGAAATATCTTTGAGTGAATCAGCTCACAGCTGCTTCGTGGTGCCTGCAGCAGAAGTTGGCAGACGTTCTCTCTCTGTGCAAAACTTGGTGTCAGATTATTGCTTGTGAGATCGAAAACGTGGAGCATCAATGTTATTGCTCAGAAAAGTCAGAATTTTGTTCCCTTGTTGGAGTTTCATATCTGTAATGTCCTTGGGAACGTGAAGTCAACTTAGAAGCTCCAATTAAGTTAAAATTGTTTGGGAAGGAGCAGTTAGGGAGCTCCTCTAACCTCCAGCTCAGTCTGAAGGCCGGCCTGGTGCTCTCAAGAGCAAACACCATCTGCAGATGCATTGTTTCCATTGTAGCTGTTTCGTAGCTTGAGCTTGGATAAGGCAGTGCTTTATTTGCAGCAGCTGATGGCCAGGAGGATGTGAAATTGTGATTATAAAAATTCCCCGTGCGCCACCAAATTTGTCTCTTCTGTTTTTTCTGTGACAGCTGAAGCAAAGGCTGCTGAAGCTGCTGCCAGTGCTTACTACAACCCAGTAAACCCACACAACGTCTACATGCCCACGGTACGTGCTGGAATCGAGTTTCCATAGGGATTTCTTAACTTGGGAGAGAATCAGAATCATGTGCAAGTTACAAAGGCTTACAGCTGCCATGCTGCGTTAGCAGTTCTACTCAGTGACACAGCAAAGTGTGTCTGAATTGATCTGTTGCATGTTTTGTTTGGTTTTCCTTAGCCACAAATTGATGTGTTTTTACTGTCTTTCCTTCAGGACCAGCCACCCCCTCCTCCGTACTTCCCACCAGAGGACAAGAAAAACCAATAAGCTACCACAGAACTCCTCCACAACTCGTTGCTTTCTTACTTCCCACTTTGGCTGAATCCTGGGGCATGGTCCATAGCACTGAGGAGTAGAGCCTTACCTCAAGGCACGTAGCTTTCCTGGACTTTAGTGGTAGATATGAGCAGGGCAAGGGGAGATCTCAGCAGCCTGGCTTACCTCCAAGAGCTCTGAGGGTTTGCAGTCCTACCACAGTTTTCCCTTCTCCCTTTGCACGCCAACACTAGATCTCAAGGTTCTCTTTCTGATAGTTTCCTTTATCTCTGTTTCTTCTGATACTTAAATTATACCTCTTTAGAGTAAGCTGCTGTTGCAGAGTGATAATTAACAAGCTCATCACATGGAAACAAGGCACCTGGGGAGTCTTGTCCTTACTTTGGGGTTCTGTGGGCACAGAGATGTCTCTAGATAGCCCTCTAAACCTGTAGTATCACACCCAACTTCTTCCTCTGTTACTGAGAAAGGGCTTCAGTGGGAACCTTTGGAATCTCAGAGAAAATAAGTGTCCATCAGATTATGCAGATATCTGATAAACTTTCTTAACAAACTGAGCTGTTCCTGACTGTCACAACGAATCTGATAGCCCTCCAGATTGTTCTGCTCTGCACTGTGATGATGCTGACAAGCTTCCTTTTTTGAACAGAGCTGCCCTTTGCAGGGCTGATCAGCAGCATCTGACTGCTTGCAGATCACATGGGAACACTCATTCTCACTTAGCTCTTTTTTCCATTCCACTACGTGGTCTTGAGATCACAAAGCCCTGAATATTATCCTTGTAGTCATTAATGCACTTTTTTTCCTCCCTGTAACACAAGTTACACTTTGGCCAGTGAAGTATCTTAATGCTGTGATTTAACTGGTGAATTAGTTGCTCATGGGAAGAAAATAGTTGCTTCTGCCCTGGAAACACTTGAGAGAATGTATGAAAAGGTGAAGTGAGTTGTTAGGTGTAACTGAGCTGTGCAGCTGGATGTTGTTTAATGCTGTCAGTGTTCCTGGATCAGCTGTGAGTTTGTTTGAATGCCAGCGCTTTGCACTGAAGGTTCAGGCATTTTCCTTCCACGACATTCATCTCATTTGCAAAGTCTGTGGTGCTCAGAACCTCTGCAGCACTGATCAGTGACCAGGCTGTGAAACTGCATGGTACAAAGCTTTGCATCAATCAGATTTTACTGACTTCTGACTGTTTGTGAGGGCGAAGATCCGTCCCAGCAAGTGTGGAGAAAGATCATGTGCTAGGGAGCTGCTGAGACTTGCTGCATGCAGCCTGCTTGGAGAGAAAAAGGTCCACCTCCTGTTTTCTTTTTGTCTGAGTTTAGGTGATCAATCAAATCGCTGCTCTCTGTGCACTGACTTTTCTAGAATTGCTACTGCAGTGATGTAAAGAAATGGTTATTTTAAATATGCATATATTATATATATATATTTATTTTGAAAATGTTTGATTAATATATTAATGTGAAATGACTTCCGAATGCAGATTTGTTTTGCCAAGACTGAAGTAAAGTGAAATCAGCTCGAAACGGAACGTTGTGTGTTTGTGGATGGGAAGGGGCATTTCTCTTGGCTGAGGCTTGCTGGTGGGATGAGAGTAAGGTATTAAATCTTCACAGATGCCCATTTTTCAATTCCTGTTAGAAACTGGTGAGGCAGCTGCTCAGCATTTTACCCAAATTTGTTGATTTCCAGACTGGTTGTCTTTGTAAGAGCTTCTTGTAATCTATTGCTGGAGAAAGTAGTCAAGGGACACCATCCAAGTTCTGCTCTCAGCGTTGTTTGTCCTCCCACATAACTGTATTAATGAATTTTTGTGCTGGCCCATCAACTCGGGCTTGATTTCTTTAGCAAGAAGTGGGTGGAGAAGGGAAACATGAAGACAGAAGACGTTACAGCCCAGTAAGAACAATGCAATCCCTGTTCTGTGAATTAAAATACTTCAGTGCTGGTTTTCTTGTATCTCATCAGCTCAGCATAAGAAGCTGCAGGAAGCTTGGGACACCACAGCTCCTGCTTTCAAAAGGGCTCTTTCCCATTTGCACTCTTCTAGGATTAATGTCTGTAAGTAAGCACACTTTGTGTGACACTCCCAAGTCTCTTGCCAGCACCACTTACAGTACAGTTCTCATACAAGCAGCACAAACATCTGAGTGTTGGCTTGGTTCTTTTCACTTCTGATATCCTTCCACTACTAAGTGTGCTCCAGGGAAGAAAGTTTTCTGTAATTACTTTCATGGCAGCTCGGCTCCATGGTTCAAGCTGAATCTCTCTTCTGCTGGCGTGGGCAAGCAGTAAAGTCAGCAGAGAAGATGTAGTGTTTGCTGCCTTAAAAAAAAAAATAAAGAAAAATATTTGGGGTGAATCAGGCTGGAAGAAATGAAATATTCCTGTTCTTAATGTGGATTTTAGTGAGCTAAATCAGTGGCTTTTGAGCTGGGAGCCTTTTACGACAGCTTCTTAATGGATGTTGCTGTTCCTGCATGCTGTGAGAAGGGGAGAAGGAGCAGGTCAGAAACGATGAGATCTGTGGTGTGGTGTTACACCGTGGCACAGAAAGGCAGGGCGTGGGCAGCAGTTCGTGTTGGATCCAGCAAACCTTTGGACAAACAGATTTCCAGCTGATGTGTGCAGTCCTGTCTCTGTGCTGTGACTCTTGGTGCCTGCTTCCCTACTCTGAGACAGAGCTGTTTCCCCCCTTTGCTGGGCTGTGGTGAAATGAGGTATTTCCAAAGCTCTCTGAGATGTTGTGTAAAAGCAGTTACTGCAGGAGCTGCTCACAGACGTCCTATGGCAGGACCTGAAAGTCCTGTTGAAATCCTTTGGGCTGGGGAAGGTGTTTGCAGGGCTTGTGCCTGCCTGCTCAGGAATGCCTGCAGCCTGAGGAAGGGGCTGAGCCCTCCTCACCACACCGTTCTGCTGAGTGAGACCGAGTGATAAATGTTGGCGTTTCTATTTCTTTCCCCTTATTATTATTTGTTGTGTGTTGGTTTGAAACGCCAGGCCACGCGAGGTGAGGAAGTTAATTTCAGACGAGGGTTTTCTCCACAGTCAGGCTTGCCATTACTCAGCTGTCTGCAAACCCTGGGTGAGTCAGCTGGAAATGCTGCTCTCTCCTGAGCCTGAGCTGGAAACATATTGCAGCGCCCACTGTACTCAGAGCTGTCTGTGCTGTCATGGTCACTGCTGTGTCCTCCTGCCTGCCCCGGGACGACGGACTGCTGACAGGTGGATCCTGGAGCAAAAGGTATTGATTTGCTTTGTGCTGTTGAAGCTGGGCTGTGAGCCTGGCTCAGCAAATGCTGCCTATCTACATTTTGTCTTTGCCTCGCTCAGGTCTTGTCTCTCCAGACCCAGGGCAGGCAGCACGGGGGGGTCTGGGGCAGCAGGAAGCTGCAGGGGGGGCTGGGCCCACACTGCCCTCATTGTGAAAGCTCCATCCACCCCATTCCCACTCCCCTCACTGCCCATTTGCGGCGTGGTTTGCCAAACCATCACAGGGTTTGCGCAGTCATCGGAGCCGGGGTTTAAAAGGAGAAGTGAGGGAGGGATGTGTGTTGAAATCAGTTTTTTGCCCATTTCTGCTCAGCTTCAGATAAGGACGGGCGGTGGCTTCAGGATTATCAGGTGCAGAGGTAGGAAGATCAGCAGTGCTTTGTGCTCGTGGGTCCCTCTGTGCCAGGTTCTCATCTAGAGATGAGATAAATCTTGAAGGCTGCGATGCCTCTTGCTGTCCATTGCCCTGTTAGCTCTGGTACCCCAAAGCAGCAGCTGTAACCCCTATTACTAACTATGGACTCAATTTGTTCCAGGGCAGCCTGTAGCCTTATGTAGCCCTATGGCCTATAGAGGAAGAGGTTTTTCCTTTAGGGTAAATTATTTTTAAAGGGGATGGAAGGGTTTGCTCTGTATTGTGTGTGTCTGTGGTGCGTGCCCCTGGCTGTGCTCGTGGGGGTGGACTGGTGTGCAGGGGGAGCTGGTTTGGGCAGCACTGATTGCTGTCAATGACCTTTGGGAGCAGGGGAGTGCAAGGTCCTGCAGATTGCCTGCAGGTGGGGAGCATTCAGCTCCATGGGGTTATCCCTGCTAATCAGAAAGCTGAGGTACTTCTGGAAGCTGCTCTTGGTGCTGGGGTGGATGGTGTTGCTCTGCCCTTCTTAACTTTCTACTGGTGAGAAGCAGCAGAGGTGCGAGCAGCTCGGGGGTTCTGTGCCTGCTGTGCCTTTATCTCTGCAGTTGCTCTTTGCTATGACAGATTTTGCTTTTGCAACCAAAACCAAACTGAGAGACGAAAGCATTTGTTTCCCAGCAGCACCGTACGTCATCACATCTCTGCTTTACTCTGATAAGAACTGCACGCTGTGCTGATGTCCCACGTCAATGCTCAGCATCTCTGTCTGTAGGGCTGGGCTGGGCCTCCTCCTCTGTGTGTCCCATCTGCTGCTTGCCCAAGGTGAAGGGAACACTAATCCAGGATTCCTACGGGCTGAGCCCAGCACTGAGCAGCACAAAGGGCAGCACGTGGCAGCGCCAGAGTGGGGAGCAGGGAGGATGTGATGCTGAGTTCAGCCTGGTCGATGTTCTGATAGGGATCGGAGGGAAGGGCGCTGCTGGTGCGAAAGTCTGCATGCTGCAATCAAATGAAGTGTTTACATGGACGAAGGCCATCAGCAGCCCTGGGTTCCCACTCATTTCCTGCTCTTTTGCTCAATGAGCTGCGATGCCTGGAAAACCCCGTGGCTGTCCCCATCCATGTGTGCAGTGACTGCATCAGTTCCCAGCCCAAACTTGCTCGGGGTGCCGCAGGGTATCTGTGTGCTGCAGTTTCTCACCCCACAGCTTTGGGGCCGTGCTGCATATCCCATTATATCCCATTATATCCCATTCCCATTCATGCAGTCGACTTCTGCTCTCTGTGGGGTCCCCCTCCCATGCTCCAGCACAGAGCAGCCCAGGCCCTCCGTGCCACCGCTGCGTGTCCTCCTCACCTCCAATGATTTTTGCCTTCCGTGACAGCTTTTGCCCACTCTCTCCCAACCCCTCGCTCACAATTAATGGCTGAATTTGCATGCGATGCCTTCCCTTCACCCCACTCCTGCACCACAGAGCTGTGGGTGCTGCAACTCCGCTTCCGTTCTGCTCCGGTCGCCGTGATGCGATAGGGGCTGCGGTTTCCTCTGAGCACATGATCATGGGGGGGCAGGCAGAGCAGTGCTGGGGTGGCTGCTCAGCCCAGCCCCAGGATGGCGGCTGCTGGTGGAGCACCTATGGGGAGCCTCCCCAGGGAGGAGGAGAACCCCGAGGTAGGTGCTGTGGGATGGGGACGGCGTTCGGCGCGAGGTGGCTGTGGGAGCGCAGGGTGCAGGGCTGGCAGATGTATGGTGAAAATGTGCTCAGGTGGAGAAAAAGGGTGAGGAGCGTGTGGCCAGAGCGGGCTGGTGCTGGAGCCAAGGGAGAAGAAGTAGGACTGAAAGCCCCCAAACAATAAACTTCCTGCTGCCAGCTCAGCACCCGTTATCCACATAAGCAGGAGCAGCTCCCTTGTTA